TCTGGTGGACTCAAGATGAGGGGCTGTCTCTTTTTAGCACTGCTATAGTAGATACGGCATTAATTTAATAATTCTGATGTTTACAAATTAGAAGCACAAGTTTGCATTCCACATGGCGTCTTCGAAAATGCTCAGAAAAACTCAGCTTGTGTAGCATGTGTATCCCTTTCAGACACTGAAGTATCTTTCAACCTTCCTGGACACTGTGCTGGGTAGCTGGAGTGTGATTATTGCTGGAAATGGTGCACATGGGAGCACAGACTGAGAGCAGTGCAGCCACATGCATTGAGAACTCAGCTGTGTTATGAGTTAGTGGTTCATATAGCATCTTTTGGAGATAATTCTCTGATTTCCCATTTAGCAAGGTTTCTACAGCTTGATAATTCCCTTATGTGAATTTTGGAATGGGCTGGAAGTCATTCAGCTGTTGCAGTACAGAGATGCTGGTGGCCAGCCATATGCAGACAGAACTGCAAAGGAATGTTACTGGGCAGCAGTTCCTTCTTTTTCTAACCAAATGGATTTAAAACTTTCAGTGTGACAGAGCAACTAGTATCTCTCCTGCTGTGGTTATTTTGCAGTGACTCCTTACTGTCCTCCTCTTCTGTCGTGACCCAAAGACCACCCATATGCTCAGCTCTCTATTCGCTGCTGAAAAAAGTGAGGTTTGGTTCCAGCTGCTCAGTATGGTACTGATAAAAGGTTGGTGCATGTTTGAGAAGCCCTGGATTACAATCGTCCTTGCCTCTTCCAACTTGTGTGGCATTTTAGGCTTTGCAAAGTCCAGGGCTGAGAAAGCAAACCCAGGAGCTTCACATAAGGGGGTTTGTCTCTGGATCTGTGTGCTCACTCTGTAACCTGCGCTCAGAGTCTGCTCATATTTGCCCATGCACTGGCAATTGGCTCCTTTTAATGAGGCACCAGAGGGTTTACTGCTGCTCAGGGTGACTCTGCTTGCAGCCCATTAGATGCTTGAAGTGCCATGAACACCTACTATCTCACTTTGATGTGAGCATTATCCTTCTAATATAAAAATATTATTGTGTACTCTGAAATCCAGCCTATATATACCCTAGAATCAATGCGCAATGGATGCCTTCAATTTGAGGTGCAAATAAAAAGCTGGGCATTTCAAGTGATGCTACACTATTATAGCATATTCCTTTACAAGTATATCAAAACAAAAACTCTGTCCTGGGCTTTCATATATGTCAGTCAGTAAGTGCTAACCGGCTCTGTGTAGGTCCTTAATTCACTGCAGGACAATGCAAATTTCAAAACACTGTGTAGAGAAGGATTTTGCTGTTTTGATCTGTATTTGCAAATGAGCCCAGCCCTTGCCTGCCCAAGCCCTGCTGTTGTGAGCAACTGAATGCAGCTCCCGGCAGTAACCTATGTCTTTGCTACTTTTATGGGTGCTCTACAAGGTTTCTGAGCTCTCAGCAGCTACTGAGCGTGCAGAGAGCACCTCTGCAAAGAATGTGCGTTGAGTCCAGCACAATCCAGTCCTGTCTGCTCACCATGCACACAATGTAAAGTCACATTGTGCGTGTATCTCATAAGAGTATGTCCTGCCCATTGGCTGCAGGGTCAATGTTGCCCATGCAATACGTGTGGGATGGCTGGATGGCTTCTGAACTTGAACATGATGATGGATATGTTTACCCCTGAGGTTGTCTCACTCAGAATTGGTTGTTGGTATTCTCATTCCTTCTCTGTATTTCTCCCACATCAGTTTACATGACAATAGTGTCTTTTCTCAGTCTTGGAGACTGTTTAAAAAGGGAGGAAGGGAACATGCTCCAGAGCTTTCAAGCAGCTTTGTGGAAAGGGTAGAGTGATTTTACTTCGGGGGTGATGTATAGCCCAGATAAGACTTTCCACCAAGGACCATTATATCTCAAGTTGACTTTTTAATTGATTTAGCTCCTCTGATCTGTACATTGCCAGACATGAACCACTAGCCTTTGGACGGAGTCCAGGGTGTAACGGAAAGTTCACTGAAACCCCATCAGCTCTTGTTAAACCTGACTAAATTTCAGCCCAGCACATTTCTTGTGAATAATTAAACACAGTTAAGCAGGTGATGGATTTGAACCTCTGTCTCTAGTGTTCAGCTATATTTCAATTTGGATTTGAACCTCTGTCTCTAGTGTTCAGATATATTTCAATTAGGAGGTGGCTCATGAAATTCTTGGGGGTTTTGGTGGGGGATTTTGGGGGGATTTTTTGCCTCTTGTGATGGATAACTGCCCCTGGAAACCCAGGGTAGATGTTTTGGTATCTCCCACTTATCACCAGCATGAGCTGCTCCATGTGGCACTCAGCTCTCATCAGTTTCTGTTTTTCAGTAGTAAATTCTCCAGTATTTACTTCTCCTTTTCCCATTTTTATGTAAGATTCGTTATCCTTTACTTTGATATCACTTTCTATCAGTACAACTGCTCTACTCACAGTGAGGGTGTAGTGCTATGGCAACAATATATTATCTGCAATCTTGCCAATGAGTAAGATATGGTGCAGAAATTAGTTCATTTGTCAAAATCTGATGTGGCAGAGCTGAGCAAAGGACCTGGCTATCCTGAACCTCCTGCTATTTTCACAAGACCTGCCGTTCTGTTTCACATTGGTTATGACACTCAGATACATTCTCTCCTGACTGGTTCCAGTGATGCCTTGTTAAACCTACAGATGTCTTAGCACCTTGGAAAATATTTTTAGATGTACAATAATCTCCAAACTATCTTTGGTAGTGACAAAAAATGGAAAATGAGCATTTTTTTTTTCTTCCATTACTATTCCAGAAAGGTACTTTTCTGTGATTTCAGGGTAGGAAAGAGCATACAAATGGAAAAATCTCGCCCAGACTGGGATATGTGAGAAATGTGCTAGATTTTCACTGCTAAAGACTAAGAGAGCTCTGCCCTTCTCTGCTCTGTGGTGCAGACTGGGTGGTGTACAGCCTTCGGGGTGCTGTCTTGTGCCTTCTCTGTCCTATGTACACACTGGTGGAATGGGCTTTAAGGTACAATGTTTACATCTAATTGCAAATTCTTCCGTGGGTGTTCAGAATCAGCCAGTCGATAGCCCTTTCATTTATGGTCCAGCTGTTACAGTGCTGGATTAGGAGGACTTTCATCTCTGTGTACCTGTCTCTCCTCAGAGAGAGGAGTATATCATATACTGATATATCACACATATATACTGATATATCACATGATGATATATCAGGTATATCATCTCAGCCATCCAGACTGTAGTGCCTTTCCGGGTAGGGCAACTTTCAGGCAGCCCAGGACTCTGGGTCCAGCTCCCAGGGTTGCTGGATATCAGGGTAATGTTAGAAATGTTAAATCTTTGGTCAGATCTGGTGACGATTAGAAATTGTTGACATGGATTTTACAGTACACAAATTGGTACATGTTCTTAACAGTCAGGGTTTGTCTAGAAACTCTTGGAGAAGAATCAAACCAGGACAGGCTGCTACAGGCTTATGGACACTGTTTGAAAGTTTTCAGTGAAATTAGTACCAGTGCTTAGTCAAATTATGTTTGCTTGTTGACCCCTCTTATCTAATTAGTCACTACTTCACTGAGCTGCTTCTACTTGCATGCACTGAATCAGCTATTTCATATTAGTGTTTTACCACTCTAATGGTGGAAGAAGTTGATTCAAGTTAAGCGATGCTTTCTTTTCTGTGTTATAAACCCATGCCTTGTGATTTGTACAGAAATAAATGTTTTGTTGCATATCAGCCAACTGTTTGAGACTGAGGAGAAGGATGCATGTAATCTCAGATCAAATATTAGGTGCAGCTGAGCAGCCAAACAGACAATCCCCAGGGTCTTCTTATTAGGTGTGGGTAAGTATCCAAAGTTTGGGTGCCTGTGTGTACTCTTGAGGTTCCCACATCTTCTCTGTGCACTACACAAGCAGATTTCACTGTCTTTCTGTTAGAAAGAGAAGGGTTGAGGCTCCTGCTCCATGTTCTGCTCCTCGTCCCTGGCCTTCAGGCACCCAGCACCCCAAGGGAGCCCGTGTGCACATGTGCTGCTTGTGCTCCAAGCAGAGTGTAAAATGAACCAGTGGCCTTGTTTACTAGGTAAATCACAGACACATCCTCACACAACAGCCCGTCAGCAGGAGCAGTGTGCCTCACCCTGCCCAGTTCAGGAGAGCGTGGTGGGTGCCCGGTGCTGGGGTCCAGGGAAGCAAACACCAGGGCCACCAGCCTGCCCCTAACAGAGATGCTTTGAGATTTGCACAATCAAATGTGATCCCTTCTCTGTCCTGCAGTGGGGAAGATGGTCTGTCAGTAGTTCATGTCTCGTTTGCAAAAGGCCTAACTGGGTCAGAGGGGAGAAGCAGATGGCTTTCAGTCACTCTGCAAGCCACTGTCAGAGCCAAGACTAAAACCCGGTTCTTGAAATCCCAGGCTCCATCCTCTGTGGCCTGCTGCCTCTCTCAGGGTGTGCAAGGTTTTAATAAAAAACACCAAATCTTAATTTAGAGCAGGATTCAAGAAAAACGTCCTATTCAATTACTTAATTATAGGTGAACTATAATTATAAGACACAAACACGTCTTGTTGCTACAAAGCACCAAGCAAAAAAGCAGAAAGGATTATTTGTTGTTTAATTTAGCAGAGGAAGGCAGCTAATGATGCATAAGTCTATCTGACACTTAGCAAGTTGTGTGATCCCATTTGTTAATCTTTTTAACTTTCAATTTTATTAGGATAGGGTTTCAAGAACAAACAGAATAAATGAGATTAAATCTGTCACCCTGAATTACTCTCCTCTGAGTTATAAGCAGATTCACTCTATGTTGGAGAAGTATAATTATGAGGAAAATGCTGCCCATGTAATTGTGTGCTTCGTTCAGAAGAATTTGAGATCCATAATTATCCCTAGTATGCCATGGTGGCATGTGCTGGCTCTTAATTTCTACAGTAAACAAAAGCATTGAAGGTTTCTCTCCTGAGCAGTTCTTCATGTAGCATGGCTGGTACCCGCAACAGTAGCAATATTATCCTTCAGGTCTTCTGGTTCAAGTGAGGGATCCAAACTAACTTGGAATAGAGCACCCATCATACATATATTTTCACACCTACCTTGAACTTAAACGTTGATTATGCAGTGAGGAATAATGGCCATGGGGAACAGAGAGTCACCTGAGCTGTAGATATGCCAGGTGAAGCATGTCTAGCTGCGTATGCAAAAAGCAAGTCATAGCACATCTGGTGCTGTGTTCCATCACTTAACTTTTTGGTGGTCCAAGGATATTGCCTTTGAATTCTGCAATGACCATGATTCTGCAGGTGCTCCTGCAAACACAAAGGGTGCAGCTTTCTTTGACAATAATTAAGCTGTAATAGAAAAGCTCTGGGTTAGGACTTGGTGTTTTTTCTCCTAGATGTCAGTGCACATCAGAAATCTTGGGGTTTAGTGTTTCTCTCAGAAAAATCTGGTGTTGGTGGTCCACACTAGGGGACTGTACACTGCTCTTGGCTCTACTCAATTTATATGGTCCTATAAAATTTGTGGTAACCTTCATGCTATATAATTCCACTGTGAGATGAGTTGAAGACACAAAGACTGTAGCCTTTTGAAATTTTGGGTTCATCAACCAAAGAAAGCTTTGAATCCATGTGTTGTTTATCTGGATTCATAACAGCTTCTGTTAGAAAAAGCAACTGAAAAGTTCAGCTAGATTTAGCATTACTGCTGCTGGAAGCCGATCTCCTGGAGAGAGGATATGCACAAAGTAAAAAGAAAGGCACTACAGGTCCTGCTCAAACATTTCTGCAGCTTCCTTCTCTAGGCAGAGCATGCAGAAGGTCAGAAGCCAGAATTTTGCGTGATGGATTAGTGATAAAACAACCTACCAGACTTTGTCTAAAATTATGTGTGGATTAGGGGAGAGGGACAGCGAGGATGCATCATTTTTTGGGCATCCTAGTAGCAATTTTGTTTTCTTTTTCAGACCTTTTTACAGTTATAAGCCAGGACTTGATCTCCACATCTGTTTTTATCGGTCAGTCTAGTTTACAAATGAGGCCCCTTTGGCCCATCTAATTTTATGTAATCTGTGATGCTGCATAAAGATTCTGGGAAGGAAAAATAGAAGGATTGTGAACAGACCTTCTGGCTAATATGTACAATGACTCACTCTATCCTTTATTTCAACTTCCGTGAAGTATTTTCAGATACACTATTTACCCATTAAATGAGCTGTTTAGTTTAGCTTATGGCTAAAGCTCTTCCTAGTATTTTGATGTATTTGTTGGGAACATGACAAAGTAAATCACAAATGAGAACGTTAACAAATGCTTATATTAATCATCTGAGACAGTCTCTCTCATTATAATCTTGTTCTGAGTAACTAGTTATCTGTAAGAAAGAGTTTCCTGTCCCTTGATTTGCCAACTTACTTGACTTTACTGCCAAGGAGATCTCTCCTCCATGCTTGACAAGCAATGGGTAACTTAGTAATCTTTCTCTGTGTAGGCAATTACTTCATGGGAAGAAATGAAGTCAGTCATGCCCATTGCCGAATCTAATTTTACTATAATTTAGAGGGAAGAACCCTTCCTTGGGTAGAATTCACTCTATAACTGCTTATTTCAGGATTTCTTTTGCTTTCCTCCAAAGGATCTGACAGAAACTGTTGTTAGTGACAGGCCTGCAGTTTGCTTGGCAAGGTCACTGCAGCACATTTCATGGCAAGCAAGAAACTTCTGCCTCGCCTTGGTTTTCAGTCATCGGCAGCTGCTTTGAGGAAAACTGAGCATGGCAGCAAGTCAGTATGACACCACTGCACGTTGAAATTCCACTTCTTGGGGAATGTTAAGGGTCTTAGGGTACCTCGTGGAGTTAAGCTGTCTTCAGCTGGGTCTGTCTGAGCTCGTTCATCTCCATCAGCTTTCTCTTCTACAAGACCTGCTCCTTCACCCAAGCTTCACAACCACCTGGATGAGATCCCGAATGCAAGAGAAACACAGAGAAATTCAGCTCTCCTCCACTGAGCTCGCAGCCCTTTCCTATTCTCTTAATAGGTGTTAATTTCCTGGGCCTTCCCCTGCTTAAGACCAGTCCCAGGAGAAACCCCATGCTTCTGCTCCCCCTCTGTGGCAAAGCATCCTTAGTCAAGTGATAAGATTTATTTTTTCCTTCTCCCCTACTCAGCCTGGAGGTTTGGCCCCGGCCACAGACATATCTTGCTCTCAGCTTTACAGTTCATTCACCCTGGGAAGGATTTGTCAATCTTTTACTTGCTCCAGGCCAGGCTGATTGAAGCACACACAAGGAAAGGTCCTTTTAAAAGCAGTTTGCAGCAGTGCAATGTTAAAAGCTTGGCTGTGAAGAGGAGGGGAGTGCAAAACAATCTCTTCCTGCCTGCTCACAAAGAAATGGGAGGAGAAAACGTCATGCCCTTCTAATGCTGGCCACAAGAGTGTGTTTAACAGTGTCTTTTCAAGGTCAATAACACCATTCTCAGCTGTTCAAAACAGCATATTGGTAGCAAAACTAGCGCAAATTAGATTTCGGAGAAGGCTGGTTGTTTGTTGTTGTTTTTTCTTTCTCTCCGCAGGCTTCAGCCTGGCAGACAATCAGATTCAACCGTAGATGTAATTCAGGCAAAATACAATCCAGAATATGTGGACTGACGTATGATTTATGCTAATGGTGGCAAGGTATTGCTGCTGAATGGCTGTCTGCTCAGCAGCTTTGGAGGAGTTCCTGGCTGTCAAAGGCAGGTGGAAATCTAAGGAGCCACTCAGTCAGGGGTCTTACTTTTTTCAAAGAGATTCTTTGTCCCACATTTTTCCTTATTTATATTTGCAAGATTCAGGAGGGTGATCAGATTTTTCCCCTCAGCAACCCTATAACACCAAACCTCTTTATGCAGAACAGAGAAGTAGAATGGGTCTAGTGTTTAGCGATAAGCTTTAAAGAGGTTGTAAATGGCTGAGTGAATAAACACTGCTTTTTATTGGGTAAAGTTGCCTGTGAGACAGGCTGTTTTCTGCCTTGGTCCTGCCCTCCTCTGCTGGTGGGAAGTGTTCCTTTGCAACTAGAACAATTTTCCTATAACTAACAGGCATTTCTTCATCCTCTTTCCAAAGTCTCCTACTTTTTCTCCTTTACCCTTTATCTTCAGTTCCTCTCAGTTACGTTCACCAGGTAGGCAGCAAGCCTTTCCGGTGTTTCTGAAAAGTGCTCACGTGGCAGATGCCATCCACTTTCTTTTCGATACTGCATTCTTACATTCTGCTGACACCTGCAGAGCCCATGCTCGGTCTGACTAAACTTTCCCCCAAGGAGAGGTTCTGTAGTGTTCGTTCGTTCTGAGTGTTATTTGGAGTTGAAAAGCCACTCACTCAAGGAAGCATAGTGAGAAGTGAGTGTGCTTCTCTTTGTACCTGCTGTGGAGATCAGTGGTTTAAGGATCCTATTCTGCTTTACACCAGTGAAAATTGAAAGCAACACCAACTGCAACAAGGCTATATAGAAGGTAAACAGAAATGCAACAATGGGATGAAGGTTTTACACAGAGAAGCAAAATGCCAGGTTGCAAATAAGGCAATAGGGTTGCAAAGCCCTATGAGCCATGTGAACAATTGGTGCTTTCTGTGCTATGGAACAAAGCAGCTTTACAAAGGGTGTCTGCAGTGTACTTTAGATCACTGAAACTGGCTCTATGGAAATTTCTGTTGTTAAATTGCAAATTCAGCCTTGCTGCATGGCTGGTGGGGAGGGGACGAGACTACTTCTCTATGTGGTGATGGTGAATGGGAAGAAACTACGTGTTACAGCCGAAAGAGCCCTTACCTGTAACTTTTCTTCTCCACAGGTGCCCCTGGTTGACAAAAGCCATCTCCCCAGCCATCCCAGTATACAATGGGCTCGTGTTCTTGTTTGTACTGGCAAACTTCAGCATGGCAACTTTCATGGACCCTGGAGTTTTCCCACGAGGTAACAGAGAATGGGACTGTTGGGGGGGGGATTTGAAAACCCAAGCCAAAGGAGGTGTCAGGTATCCAAATACACTGTTTGCTGACTAATCCCCTTTTTTCTGGTATTCTTTCTTGTAGACTTTATTTATTTATTTATTTATTATACTCAGCTGGCAGTAGAGGTGGGATGGTAGGGAAATGCTGGATACCCTCCATCTCTATTCTGACCTAGGACGCATCAGTTGTCCTTGCACTTGCTCAGACTGGCAGTCGAGGGCACAGGGTTGTGTAGAATGGTTCTCCTTGAGTAGCTCTCCTGACTGATGTGATTGGATTGCCACCCCCTGTGTCATGCTGGCACATTGGATTTAAGTCATGGTCTTCAAAATGGGTAGCAGAGCACGGTGGAGGGGAGAGGCTAAACTTTCTGAAACAGCTTCATCAAAGCAGACCTTCCAAAAAGCCTTAAAACAAATGCAAAAACATTGAACGCTAAAAAAGATAATGATTAAGGCTTGCCTTAGAGTGTCTAAAAATGTATACATTTAGAAAGATATGCCTGCTTAAATTAGTACTGATTCACAGCTGATTAAAGATCGCTCAGCTTTTGTAATGGGAACCACAATGCAGCTATCTCTTTTAACACATCCTAATGAGAGAATTATCACCTCATTTTATCTGTCTTCCAATAATTATTCACATGCAGTTTGCAGCAGAGACTGCTCTAGGCAGTCTTGCTAAACCAATGGATCTGTGCTCTCTGCAAGCTGTGCTTTCTCACCTCTATTCACTGAATTCAGTATCTGTTTTGAATTGCTACCTGACAAGAACAAGGTACCTGTCCTGCTGGCTTCCCTGAATAGCAAGTGCCAGGTTTCTCCAGGTAGCAGGGTCTAATGATGATCATCTGTCTGCCATTCCTTTCAGCTGAAGCTTTTGAAGCCCTGATTAAGTGTTGCAGCACTCCAGTTAAGGAAATTATTGTGTGTAAAGGCAAACTAAGGCAAAGGCAAGATTCAGTCTTTTGTGCAAGATTAAGTGATGCAGTGTTTAGGTGCTTAAAGGTACAAATAGGTGCTAGTGAGATTTTCAGAAGAGCTTAAGCACTTAGAGCTTTTAACGAGTTTCCTGGACTTTTTAGTTCCTCCATCTCAGCAGAGATAGCAGTGGTTAAACATGCTTTGGGTGTGAGGTTATCGAAAGTATCCATACTCTTTGCCTTCGGTAGGAGGAGAGCTGCAATAAAGTTGTTCAGTTTTGAAAATCTCAGTCTGGGAATCTAGTATCTTTGTGCAACGTAGTTCCCTCAGACCAGAGTCTGCAGCTGGGCGCTCACAATGCCCTACGAGTGATCAGTATTGAGTGTATTGTAAATTCATACTTTCCTTTGCACTTCTCTAACTTTCTTTTGCAAAAAAATTTCTTTATTTTGGACTTTGCATTTAAAGGAGAAACACACAGGGAGATCAAATAGAAACTTTGAAACTTTCTCATCACATTCCCTCCCTTCCCATCTCCCTTAACACAAGGGAGCCAGGAGCAAAGCAGGAAGAGGAGGAGTTTCCTACAGCTTGCCTTTTTTCTGTCTCTTTCTCTTCATTTGTGGCCTTGGCCTTATATCTCTATGCTGTGCATGTGCTTGATCTAGAAGAGGCTGGGAGCAAGGGGAGTGGGGAAAGGATGAGAAACGGGATGGAAGTCATCCTGGAAGAAAGTGATGGAGTAGGAGTTCAGATGTGTGAAGGATGCAAACTGATAAGGAAAAAAAAAGATGGGAAAGACTATAAATACCAGTGCTGGGAGGAAAGAGGAGCAGATGTTATTTCAGATCACAAGTGTGCATGTGAAAAACTATCACCACCCCACACCGCCCGCAGAGCTGCCAGTGCAGGGAGTTCAAAAATTGTAGGAGTGATTTAAAATGAATATATAATAGATCTATTTACTTTCTGTTATTGAAATTAGGTTTAGTCTTCTTGGTTTTCAAGCTTCTTAGCACATTTCTGATAGTTACAAATTTACTTCAAAACCAAAACAACAAATAAGCAGTACAAAAGCTGAGATTCTAATGAAATCACATGATTCCTTTAAGGAAGCCACCAAAAATCATAAGATATGTTATAAAAACAAGAGACTTGGCTGCCCTGTGTCAGTGAATCAGAGTATGAGAATCTGTGTAGTAAGATACATTCCTCTGCCAATGTATTCTTCTGCTCAGATCACTGAAAGCTGGAAATAAACAGATTTCTAGCTATATCGTATAAGCTTACAGGTTCTCTGGCAGATAGAACTTGGGCTATGGGGGGAAGTAAACCCAGCTCACTCTTGTATTGTTGAAGAGGGCCTGAATCAAACTCCCAGATCCGTTACTCATTTTTGAATAAATTTTTAATTTGTTGGCTCTCTGAATGTTTCTGGTATGAATCAGGATTGGCTCTGTGCGAGTGAGTTGCCAGTAATACACCAAAATGTATGAATGAGAAGGAAAGGAAGTATTAAGTCACTGAAATTGGGGCTACCCTGACAAATCTGATTTACAGTCTGGGTTGAGACTGGCAATGTTTGTTGCTGGCTAATTATAGATGCCAACTACTAACTGGCTTCCAGTATTTTTTATGTGAATCTATTTTATACAAACTCTTCAAGCGTGTGTCAGTTCTGCAAGACTAATGTGTTTATAGGCATGTAGGTATATACAATGTACAGACTTTTTGTCTGCATAGTCAGTTTTTTTACAAGAGCTTAAATGGTTTGACTGTTCTAGTGTCTTGTTTTCATATGCCCATATGTATTATACAGCATGGGCTAGTTTATAATAGTATTGAAGAACCTACAGATTGTATTTATAGAAGTGCCTAAGGGATTTAGAGTCTAGCTCCCACTAAGAGCCCCACTGACCAGTTATGAAGGAAAATTATAGAGAATGGTGCCAGTACAGCACTCTGCTTCCACGCACAAACGTTAATGCAGAGAATACTCTTGCAAGGTAAATACTGTAGCTGAGTCAGATCCCAAGCTATCTAAGTGAAGGGAGAAACTCCCTCTGAAGTCAATGGAAATTGGATCATGATAACACATCTAGAGAAGATTTAATATAGAACTAAATGCCAGTGATTGATGCCCCGCTGGGACAATAATATCAAATTCCACCTAATTTGGAGCCAGTCAACCAATGCCAGCTGCACTATAATGCTTAACCAGGTGTTAAATAGATGTGAACTTCTTAGATTTTCTCTGTCAAAAGGAAACAAATAAAGATCACAGGAATCTAGAATAAAAGATTAACTTTCATGAGTGTCATTCTCTTTTTTTTCCTTTTCTTTCCAATATATATTTGTCTATTATAGACTGGCTTTTATTTTGTGCATTTATTTTTATGACCTCTTTTCTTAAACAGCGCTTAGCTGAGATGATAAACCATCCGCCCTCTGCGTTGTCTCTAATAAGATGACTGCGGTATTGTCATCCTCATCTTACTAATGGCAAAGAGAGGCTAAGTGACTAGCTCAAGGCCACAGAGTGAGAAAATTAGAATACAGGACTTCCTGACTCCCAGTACTGTGCTCAGATCAGTAGACCATGCTGCCTTTGAGAGAGGTGAGATCTTCCCAGTTATGTACCATTACTAAAGCATGAGCGTTCTGGCTATGCTATGAAGAGGTGAGCACAGGATATGCTTTAAAGAAGTAAGCATTGATGCAAGGACTTTTCACGGGCACACAAATTGCTTCAGAATGGTATATCTCACTGTGGCATCAGACTCCCTGAGCAACAGGTCTTTGGGGTGATTGTGGGCTGACAGTAGAGTGCTGAACAAATCGTCGTCACTTAGGGTCATCTGGGTTGATTTTTGTGGTTTAAGCTAGCACAACCACCTTCTAATATTTGTTGATGTAATTTCTTTCACTTTATGTGCTGGTAGCATTGAATTAATCCCAAATGCATGCAGCAGAACTTCTCACAACAAGGGCTTGGGTGATTTCCATCCCCTCTTTGACTCTAGTCTGCAGCTCATCTTACTCATTCAGGTTGTAAATGCTGGCTAAAATAAGACTCAAACACCTCTCTTTGTCCAGGGGCTGGTGAGTAAGGCTGCATAGCACTCCTATGGGAGGTGCTAAAATGAATCTTGATCACTGAAGAGTTCTGCAGCCCAGACAACCTGTTCTGACAGCCCATCGCTTCACCACTCTGTTATTTCTCTGACAAGCCCAAGAGCACGTGCAGTGCCCCTGTACCCAAGGCACTGACTGGATTAGCTCTTTGTTGTGGTTTAATCTCAGTCGGCAACTGAGTACCACATGTACCACTTTTATCTTTACCCTCTGTTATTTCCACTAACTTTTAGTTTTGCATTGAGCAGCAGATGAAGATGAAGATAAAGACGACGACTTCCGAGCTCCACTCTACAAGAATGTGGAGATTAAAGGAATCCAAGTACGGATGAAATGGTGTGCCACTTGCCACTTCTACCGTCCTCCACGCTGCTCTCACTGCAGTGTCTGTGACAACTGTGTTGAGGTAAAACAGTTCTGTTGATTACACGACCTGTTGGCTTTGTCTCAGTGATGGGGTTGCACATACTACTGGAAACGTGCAGCTGGGTGCTTCCCCCAATATTTCAGTTCTTAGAAGTTCCCAGCTTGTCGTGGTTTAACCTCAGTTGGCAACTGAGCACCTTGTTGATGGCCTCCTACTAATTAGTACCATTTGAAACATAGCCCTCAGTTATGATGTATGTTACATATGCAATAATGTTTGATGTCAGCTTTGTTGCCAGTGATAATTAGAATAAAAATTTATAATGCTGGCTATGTCTTCCTTGAAGTAGCTGAGGGATCGTGAATGTAAAAAAGGGGTGAATGGAAGAGTTGATGCAGAGGCAGAGTTCAGGAGAGCAGGAAATTCAGGGTGAACCATTGTACCTTGTCATGTGTGAGCTTAGGGCTCGTCATTTAATTTGGAACCAACTGATGCCTACATTAGTGGACAAGTAGAGAAGCTACAACGGTGTGTGAGCTTTAGGAAAACCAAACTCAGAATTCATCGAGTGGTTCTCCAGTCAATGGAAGGACCCCATGTTTGTTTCAACACCCCAGCTCAGAGCATGAACTCGTTCATGTTTCTAATGTTGGTCGCTCTGAATTATGGGACTTTCATGTTTCTTGATAGCCCTAGGGTCTTGGTGAGGCACACAGGATTTTTAAAAAATAACCCCCAAACAGTAAGATGTGCTTTTGGGCTATAAACGTCTCCCAAACTTGTAAGTACAGAGTGCTGTATCCACAGCAGTGTATTGCCAGGGGGGATTTTTTATTGCTGAGCTAAAAATTCCACTTCTTAAGGATCATTTCTGCTGCAAGGTCTATTTTTTTCCAATAGAAAGATGAAATCTTTAATATGTTTAAAATATATTCAGCTGTGCCCTTAAAATGAAAGGAATTACTAATCAGAAAGGGAAAAAATACCAGAGTCAGCTGGAATGCTGTATACACCATCTTTGTCCTAATCCTCTTTGCCATAAGCAAGGGAATAGTCCCAAAGAAAGCAACACAGTTACATGTGAGAGAAAGGCTGCCTGGGTTTATCTTATGTCAGTCATTTTCTCCTTCAGGGCAATATATATCTAAGTTATAATTATCTGGAAGCAGTGCTGTGCCTAGTAACCATCAATAAATAGGACAAGGCTGTCCTGTAGTGGAAGGCCTTAGAAGGATGCGGGATTTGAGAAGATGGAGAGTAAGGAGCTGCCAAGGTCCCTGGCTAGAAGGGAATAGCTACAGCTATTCATAAGTTGTGTCACACAATTTCTTTAGACTGCTGTGAATTGTTGAATAGAGCTGGATTTTTTGTAGAAAACCTGAGTCGTATATTCCTAGTTTTAAAACATAAATGTTTTCACTAATTCTAGATCCTGAGGATTGTTTAGATGATGGTAAGTGCTCAGTTGTCCCATGGAATTTCTTTCTTCTGCCCTCCCCAGTGGCTCAACATGAAAATTCATTTTCAACAAATGAAGTTTTCTCAGAAAAAGATTGCTCAAAACTCACTGATATAAACACTTGCAATTTCATACTGCCATAAGGCCTCCATGGGAGTCAGTTCTGCAGCAGAAATGAAAATGGGAGAGAATCCAAAAGTAACCTAAATAAAATAGCAGAATGCAAGGTGACTCTGCCTAGCTCTCCAGAAGTTTTATTGATGGTCAGATCAGTTGAATGTTCCTTCCAATTGTGGTGGGCAAGTCAGAAGCTCTGCTTGTATAATTAAATTATGACTGCTGTGGAGGAATATAGGCAAAAAGCATTAATGACTTCTGAATCAATAAATCATGGTCTTAAATGGCATGCTTTATTGATTCTTGTGATGCTTATTTCCCACTCACCCCATTTTAGAAGAGCTTGGAGGCAGTGATAGAAGCGACTCTACTGGCTTTTCCGTGTGGAACCCTTTCAGGGTTGTAATTCACATCTTTTCACTTTCAGTCTAGAATGTGCAATAAAAATTCTTTTCCCAAATATAAAACTTTTGAGCTAATTTGATAAAAATTAACAAACAACAAAAGCCAACAACATTTGTAGAAGTAAAATCAGTTAAAACCTAAAGCCTGCTGTGACCAGAGGGACCCAAAAATGAATCTGTGACAAAAGTAGTGAGATTTTTTGTTGTCTTTACTGAAGTGTTTGTAGTAGGTACTTATATAGTTTCATAATCCATAGATATTTTGGGCTGCACACAACCAGATTAGCATGATAGACATATGCTATGACAGCATTTCAGATATAGCCTGAAATGATCTTTATTAAATTGCCCCTGTCATTTTCTAATGTGCTTTGAGAAAGCTCTAATCCATTTTCTTGTATTTTGTAAATTTTCGGTAAATACATTGTGCAAAACTTAAAAATACAAAAACCCCTTTGTCATCATTGAGGAATGTTTATTAAAAATAACATTATCACAAAACAAAGAATAAACAATTCATTTGTTGATGTAATGAGTGTGTAGTATGTGTTCTGAAGAACACAGAAATAAGAAGGGTTTATTTCTTGCACCAGATCTTGTTTTAATGTCAAAAATAACCCCATTGAAGACAGTGGATTTACATGCTTATAAAACTGTGTAAAGGCACTTGAAAGGTGTCTGTGGCTTGCCCTCATTATTAAATCTACTGTTAAAAGGGATCTGACTTTATGAGGGACTTTGAACTTTGGACTGAGACAAATAGTTAGGTTTGCGTTCATAACTGTTAATGAACTTGTGCAGAACTTTGCCTGTGTCTTATCCAGCTGTTGCTTTTCTTTGGGGACCTGCTTGGTAAAAAAGTATCTTTCATGATGTCCATTGTTTAAAGTGGATTCATTCAGCTACGTATAAATACAGAAATGTGGGGCAGAGAATTCTGCAGCAGTATTGCATCTTCAAAACATTCTAGGTTATAACAACTTCATTATAATTGACTCCTCATGCTAAGGGTGATAAAAAACTAGTGCTTCAGCTGCTAGCAGATAAATAGCCTGTCTTTTTATTCTTTTATATCCTCTCTTCGAACCCTATAAACACTCAAGTACCTCTCCATTCATAGATACAGAAACCACTTGGTCCTAAGAAGAGCCTTATAAAGAGAGTTTAGCATGTTATAAAGCTGCAGAACTAGCCTGATGTAATTTTACATGACGATAGTTCAGATTTATCTCTAAGACAGTGTATTTCTTTTCACCGTTTGGATATTGTTCCCTATCTCTCCCTTTCTTTACAAGGATTTTGACCATCACTGCCCATGGGTCAACAATTGCATAGGACGGAGGAACTACCGCTATTTTTTTCTCTTCTTGCTGTCCTTAAGTACGCACATGGTTGGAGTATTCACCTTTGGGCTCATCTTCGTACTAAACCATATGGAAAAGCTGGGAGCAGCTCATACTACCATTACGTATCCTTCTTCTTGGTCTTTCAAGACTCAAGGTGGCCTTGAGGAAAATGTGAAAGAATGAATCTGAAGTTTTGTCTTCCTGGAACTGGTGGAGATCTACTCCTCTCCTGATCCTCCATTGCTTTTCCCCTGTAAATGCTTAGTGCAGGTTTTCCTCTGTACCCATCTTACCTGTGTAACCATCAATTACCCCCAAAACTATAGCTGACCTTTTGTCTATCTCAATCTTTGCCATGACAACCCAGCAGAAGGATATGCTGCCTCCCCGAATTTTGCTTCCAATTGGGTGTGACTCTAAAGTGCTGGGTACTATTTACTGTATTTAAAACTCTGTTACTGTATTTTAAAGCAGAGTTTGCCCTGGAAGCGGTCCCCCTGCATGCTAGTGTAAGACACAAACTGCTGGCTCTGAGGGGTGCTACCCCTATTGATAGATTAGAGCAGAACGGTCTTTACAAGATGGTTAGAGCCAGAATCAATGAGTTCACGTTATTTTTTAACCATCTCAAGGGTAAGGACCCAGGCTAGGAGCAGATGGACTTAACTTTGAGGTAAAATTTAGTTAGACTTAATTAAAGGTGAGGGACACCCTCCCTATTTCCAAGATTTTTTTTTCTCCTTTTCCTCTCCCTCTCCTTCATAGCCTCTTTTTCGTTTCACTCATCCCAGTTTCTTTAACTCCTGGATACAGAATGGCTGTCATGTGTGTGGCTGGGTTATTCTTTATTCCAGTCATTGGTCTCACTGGCTTCCATATTGTTCTAGTGGCCCGAGGCCGCACCACGAATGAACAGGTAAGAAGCAATCCTTTCTCTGTGTTTGTGGCTAGATGTTGAGTTGGGAAGGAAAGTCAGCAAGGTAACTTGAGTAAAGCAAAAAATGATCCAAATCTTAGCAGTAACACTCTTACTGGAGCTTTTGTGAAGATCTAGGAAGATTGCCTAGTTTTTTATTTTCAGATTTTTTGCTTGAATGCACTACAAGCAAAGATTTCCCCCTTCTAACCATGAAGGATCATCCCAGGCTTATTTACCATTTAAAATCTACTCATGGCCTTGAAATAGGTTTTATGTGGTAAGTACTGTCAACCCCAGAAGTTCAAACTTTATGAGTCAGACTGAACAAACCATGAGATTGAATGAAAGAAAGGAAAAGATTAAATCATGCTTTTGCCCTGTCTCCTGATATTTTGAACTCTCTCAGCTAACCCACACCGCACATAATAATGTCTGAGCTAGCTCTTTGTCTCACTCTCTTTGTCTCTCTCTTGTTCTCATGTGTATGTGCACACGCACACAGAGAGGCTACTGGACCTAACTTGTTTTGCTTCTTGAAATCAAGTGCCAACATGACATCTTGTGCCAAAAAGCCTGTAAAACTTTAGTTCCCTTGCAGTTACTCAAATGTATATAATCCACAGCCCCTATGTGAGCGATCCAGACCTATATGCATGTGTATATCAGTAGCATGATACGGGTGATGGAGATCTAGATCGATAGCATGCCCCTGCCATTCGTAAGGGGTAGCTCAGTTAGAAAGCGTGACACTGGGTCACGCAGCGTGCCAGTCAGCTGCACACAGCATTTTCAGCTTTCTTCCCAGGCTAATTAATTGTGTGCACTCCAGTGCTTTACCCTTTCACAGCTCCAGCTCCAAAGCGCCCCTCACGCATCTGGGTTTTTTTCAATTTTTTTTCCACATCACACTTCTTTTTCACTTTCTTTTTTCAAATGCATTTCTATTGCTCTTGCATCTATGGGTGCTCTCTAGCTCATGCTGAGCAGTGTGCTGTTCTGGCTGCCCCGCAGGCTGATGGCTTCATGCTTGTGTAGCTTGCATGGCTGCTGTGCAGACTGTAAGAGTTGAAGACATCTCTCTGAGGCCAGGCCTTCGTAAACTGGGATGAGGTTGTCTCCTATCCCACAAGAGACAATAAAAACTTTTATCCAGAATAGTGTGGGAGGTTTACATAAGCAAAGAATCTGAAATCATCCTGAATTGTTGCCTAACATGGACTTTGAACAAAGCAGGCTTACCATAGCTGTAGTTCTTTAAATGCTTTTCTCTGTCCTGCTTGGAATCAGATGCTCTTAATTTTAAAATTTATTTTGGCCAAGTATTAGGTTTGGTAGTGTTAAAAATAGTAGCATGAAACCCAGGGCATTTTGGTCTCATAGCCCAAATCATGGTCTGTCTTAGGCTTGTCTTTGTGCAGTGATGAAAACTGTCCATGAAAATTTTAGGCTGGGGAGGAAGGAAAAATTTAAATTAAAAAAAAATTAACTTCTTGTGCTTGTGGCTAAACTAACATTTAGGAAGGTTGAGAATTTTGCATTTAACTCGATTGAAATAACTATTGGAAAATGCATCCTAGCTTGGTTTGATTTCCTAAGCTACCAAACCACTTGAGATTAATTGATCTTCCCATGCCATTTTCTGAAAATTAAATATAATCTGGTCTTAATTTCTGTTTAGTCATATGTACTGCCTATCTGTAACTGGAGGATGGATGTTCCCAGCCTTCGGGTCCCTTTCAAAGGAAGCATATCTAAGTAATTAGAGTACCAGATCAGGAGTGATGGGTATGAGATCTGCTCCTGGCTTTGCCACTGTTTTAAAACATTCACTTTTCTCCTGCAGTCTCAGTATTGATTCTCTTTTCTCACATTGTTAGTTATCTGCTGTCAGCTTTCCAGTTACAATATGCTCAGCTACACTTGTCCTCTTTTCTCTTTTTCCAGTACATTTTATAGGCCAGTGGTACAGACATTTTTGGTGTTTTACTGTAAATTTTTGGTATTTGTTCATTCCAGAGTTTGTAGGTTTTGAGCATTCATAGTAGGCAGACTGTGATTTAGGAGTGCATAGTGGCTCAGTTTAGATGTTTGTGAGCTTTCTGAATGCCTCGAAAGTCTTTTATGGAATGAAAATAACCCATAACCCAACATCTGCTCATATCCTGGTATTTTTAGTTTCTGAATAGATCAAATAAATATCCTTCCTTCTGAGACTGCTTTCTATCAGTGGATTTCAAACTACTCTAGAAACCAAATTGATATAATTAGTAATGTAATCTGTGAGTTAGAGAAATTTTATTTTCATATTGTGTTTGAGAAAATGAGCACAGAGATATGAAGTGCTTTGCCAGCATCTGGCACAAGTCAGCTTAAGCCCGGGATTGAATGCAGATGTGCCAAATGTCCCAGGCCCATGTTTTAGTCATCAGGTTACTCTTCCAACACTCAGAACTTCCAACATTTCTCTCTTGGCCTCTTAAAGACTTTTATGTTATATCAAAGAGGTCAGCGTAATATATTGCAAAATCATTTAATCGTCGTTAATTTATGTACAAGTAATTAAAGTATTTCTGGTTACTCTGTAAACTTGTTGCTAGATCAGAACTATGAGTTGATTAAAATACATTACTTGCAAACAGCAACAGTAATGCTTTTCATAGCAACCACTATTAATCTCTCTGGCTTTATTGGTATTTATCCCCATATGGTTACTTTCAAGTATCTGCCTGTAGCGTACAAACCCTTTATAATGCTTATGAAGCTTTGAATGGATCCCGCCAGTCTAATGAGGCTTGGCTTTTATTAAACTAGCTCATTTCCAAGCAAACATCACGATCACCAGGGAGTTCCTGGCACCCTCCTGCATAAGGCAGTGGTTTGTACTGATTGCCGCTAGGGATGGGATGCTGATAGAGGGGAAGCATTGCTCTCATCCAACATTACGAATGTTGAATTGACATTCCTGTTTGTTTGGAGGGGACTTGCCAAGGCAGAGGAGCGGAAGTGACAGGGGAATGAAAGGGACCAAAACAGGATGTCTGGCTGACAGCAGGCACGAATCTAATGCAGGAGCAGCATGGGGAGGTGAACCTGGCCACTTTGAAACCCAGTCACATTGAGCTCACTGCCCTTTTGGGAAGGGATCTTTAGTTGGTGTGCCTCCTAGCTAGAAGTAGCTGAAGGAGGTGGTGGTTTAGAGCAGGAGAGAGGAAGTGCAGCATTCAAAGAAAAACGATCTGTTTGGGAAGGACAGTAGGGTCAGAGCAAGGCATACTTGTTCTTGGCTTTCTGAGGGTTGGATGATGACTTTTATATAACCAGAGGTTTGAGCACTGTCCTGAATATGTTTCCAGGTGACAGGTAAATTCCGGGGGGGAGTGAATCCTTTCACCCGAGGATGCTGTGGAAATGTGGAACATGTGCTCTGCAGCCCCTTGGCTCCCAGGTAAGAGAAATGCTCTCAACTGGGAACGAAAGAGGTGGAGTAGTTGTTGGGACAGAGGAAGAAAATGTGTTTGGTTGGGTTCACAAGTGAAAGACCATTGATGAAATAACAGGGAAGTAAAGCAAAACACTCCTGAAGGCAGAGCTCTGTGATAGCTGCTTCACTGTTGCCTGTCCAAGCAGTTGCTTTCTTCATGTAATTCATAACCACCATCCCAGAAATGTCTATTTGGAATGAGCAAGTTAAATTATATCAGGAGCTGATATCCTTGTCTTCACCAACTTATTTATCCAATGGATTTCAGTAACAAGGTAAGTTTCCATATGTTATCATGTTCCCAACACGACTTTTTGCACTGTACAGTCAATGTCCAGGTATTCTAGTCTGCTGGAGAAAGGGAAGGAATCTAAAATCAGCCTTTCTCCTTAAGACTTAAATCTAATTCAAGGCTGCTGTGGTTTTCAATCTCACTGGCACTTTCATTATCATAAAACAGATTTTCAATGAGGTCTGCATCATGGAACTTGGGATTTTATTTATGGCTTTCTATTTTTGGGGAAATGGATTTATCGTTTCACATTTTGAAATCAGGATTTTGATGCAATAGATCAGATGGAGTATAAATATCCTAGGTGCTGAGCTGTCCAGCCTGCAAACATGTTAATAATTGTACTACAAGAAGACTTATCTGAGCCTTTTCAGGGTGTTGAGCAATTCCAGACCCTGACACTATTATCTGCCTTTTTTTTTTTTTCCCTTTGCTATGCAACAAGTAAGTCCTAAAAGACTGTTATGTTTGTAAAGGTGAAGACACTGGAATAGCTGCTTCTCAAACTTCCCAAAGTGTGAAAATCAGGTCAAGATACTTTAAGAGAGACAGGTATTAGAAGTTGGGAGACACTCCTGTTAAGAGAGGGGTGCGAGTACTATCATCGTGGCTATTCTCAGACTTTCAGCAAGCAGAATGTTTGTGTTTTGTGAAGACCTGTTCAAATTGTCCTGTATATTGAAAGTCACTGAGCCATCACTACTAGAATGTTCTATTCACCAGATAAAACAAAGAAAGCTTGTGTGTGTGTTGATATTTATGTATTGTACAGCCACTGCCCAATTGCATTTACAGAATTCTAGTCCACTGGAAAGAAATTAGATATCTAAAGTCAGCCATTTCCCTTTAGATTTGTTGCTTCCTATAGACCTGTCTGTTTCTTTTGCCTCCATTTATTTGAACACTCTAAACATGCTACAGAAACAAGTCACCGTGTGGTAAGCTAGAACTGACAGCACATCATCTTCTCCATGTTAACTCCCCATGTGCTGGGTCTTATTCCCCCAGTCACCGTCTTCCACGGCAGGGAAGCTGTTTCATGTTAACTAGGTAAGATCTAGTAAATCGCTTCCATTGGTGGTAGGCCTCTCTTTCTCTCTTCATGTGAACTGTACTCTTGTCCATCAGTGCTTCAAAAATTACTTGGGTTTTTTAATGCATCCTTTCCTTTTTGCTCATTAAAAAAAACATTGATCTTTTTATTGCTTTTTAATTATTACATCCATTGAAATAAATGGAGTTTGCTTACCTAGATCCTGACACATTCTTAAATCATACCCTGGAAGCAGGATGATTTTCTTGTCTCTATGCCTTGTTCTTAGGTTATTGTTTATTTTAATGATGACTGTTGAACAATTAATCAGGTACATAGTTGAGCCCAAGAAAAAGCAAGCTGTGAGTGTGAAGCCTCCTTTCCTCAGACCTGATTTATCTGAGCGACAGATCACAGTGAAGATCAGTGACAACGGGATCCAAGCCAACCTCAACCGGAGCAAGGTAAGGCAGCCTTCAAGCGCTGCTTTTGAAGAGCATGGATTGAGCATTATCAAGCCTGGGAATGAGTTTGTCATTGAAAATCTCTTTGAGATGATGCATTTTTTGGAGAAAATTATAGAGGTTGAGTCTTTGTCGTATACTTCATCCTCTGAAAGTAACCCAGGTTCAGTAACAGCAGATCTTGATCCAGTAAAAGCCCTTTTTGCAGCTCTATAATAGAATGCCTCTGGGCGTCTTTTGGAAGAGGTGGCTGTTCTTTGCAATAGTTACTTTCTGTCCCAAGAGTTGCCACCTCGTGGTGTTCAAATTAATTTTAACTAACATAACACTGTGCAGGAACCCTTGTACCACCAGGTCAGCTGTTCTACTTCAAAGAAGGTTTTGAGCTTCCAGACTGCAGGAAGACTTGTAGTCCAGTGAAAGGAATATTGGCTCAGAAGCTGAGTTCTTTTCTCTCCTCTTCTTTTTTCAGTTTCTCCTGGCATGAAATAGGGAGAAGGATTTGTTTAGTCATATAAAAAGCAGTGGAATCAAAAGAAGCCACCTTGCAAGATTTTTGTGGATAGTTACTTGTTACACTCTTTGGATAGTTACTTGCTGAGAGCTGCTTGGAAAGTTGCTGAAAAATGCTAGAAAACACCATTGTCTTCTACCACATATTAACTAGCATGATGATAATGTTATTTAGCATGCCAAGTAGACTAGGATAGTGCATTTAAAATTATACTGGCTTGTTATGTCAGTGCTAATTTTACACATGACAGTCCTTGTCTGCAGTGGATGCTAAATCATGTTTGTCATTATAGGTATAGGTAGCTCCTGTTCTGTGGTACATGCAGCACTCTGACATGTGCTGTTATTTAACCAAGTTGCGGGTAATGATTGATTCTTTGGTCGTTTTCAGTCTAAAATTAGCCTGGAAGGTCTGGAGGTTTAAAGTATGGATGTGCAACCACCTCTCCCACCCAAAGGAGATCCAAGCAAGTACTCTGAGCTAAAAGGGCAGCTGGGGACCAGTGAAGGTATAGTTGCATGATCAGTGTTTTATTTTTATTAATAAGAAAATATTTCAGCCTCTTTAAAAGGCTTCTGGTATTCTTTCAAAACAGTAATGGGATCTGGGTGAAGGGTTTTTTTCTATTTATAGGAGTTCTGAGCTAGGGGAATAAACAGCAGGAAAGGGAGAGAAAAGTCAGCTTGAAGTGGTTCATTCAAGCCTAGGTTGGATATTTCATATCAGCTTCGCAGGGTTTTTAAACGCCTTCTTAAATTTTTAATCAATTTTAAAATGAAAAATATCATTTTGAACTAAAGAATCAGAAATATTAGCATGAAATGCTTAGGCATTACAAACTGAATTATTTCATTTATGAAAATGTGAAATTAAAGCTTTGATACTACTAAAAATCTTCTTTTTTTCAGACAAAACTAACAGTTGTATTCAACCCAAATATCTAGTATTTCAAATTATGACAAAATTACTACTCACCAAAATATGTCACCCCACTTAATATGTTATACCTTGTTTCTTCTTCTCTTTAGATTGCTGGTCTGCCAGCAATGTACTGTTATTTCCACAGGGGCCCCATTGATTTTGGTGGAATTCTGCACAAAAGTACTGCAAGTTTTATTCTTTCCAGAACAGATCTGTTTGCAGAGGACCATGGATAGCAAGCAATTAGGAATGATAGCTTTCTGTCCACACGTTTTAATAGAAAGGTTTTTTTTTTTCTTTTACAGAAGGTGGCCTTTCGCCCAAACTTATCAGCCCTCCTACACCTGCCATGTACAAGTATCGACCGGCTTTCAGCACCAATCCCAAAGTCCACTACCATGCTACAGCTGAGCAGGTGAGCGAGCCTGGGAGAATCTGCTCCCAGCTAACACCGGGCAACATGGACCTGAGGATAAATTCACCGCAGGGCTGTAGTGAATGTCAGGGTGTAAAAGTAAATAACAACACTTGGCATTGTTGTGCGATAGTGTATATTTTCACTATGTTCCTTATGAAAACATGTCTGCTTTCGCAGCTTTCCTCTGTTGAGCTTGACACGTCTGTCCTGCTGACAGGCGTGCACTACTGCTTTACCAGTGTCTCAGCCTGATCCTGAGATGCTGAGAAGTGTCACCTCCCATTGGCTTCTCCTGACATAGGTGCCAACTCACATTCACTTCAGAGGGAGCTGGGCATGCTTAGCGCTTTTCTGGATCAGACCCTTTAGCCAACAGACAACATGTTCGGTGATTCCTTAAGATGTCAGCTTGCAAAACAGAAGGAAGTTTTAAAGCATCCCAAGAGATATTTTAGTTAAAATTAATGGAAGATTCCTCATGTTTGACCTTCCTTAGCACCTTCTCAGTGCATTTGGGTTATATGGGGAAAAGAAACCAACTTCCTAACACTTGGCATCATTTCCTCCTGTCAGGAAAACTTTGAGGTCAAAACAATTAAAGAGACTTGCTCTGGAATTTTGACTGTTTTCTCTTTTGCTTAGGAGTTTTGAAACAGTTTACACTGTTTCCTTTGGAAGCGGAGTGCAAAACTAAGCCCACTGCTAATAGGCTTGTTTTTCTCACTTATTTCTCATGGATTTGTTGCAAATATTCCTTGGCCCCCCAGGACCTGAGTACAGCAGTTTGAAAATCACTGGTCTAACTTGTATATTTGCAATATGTATCCAAGTCTTCACACACCAGTGGAGATACCCTTAACACAATGCAGTTTTCTTACAATTAATTTCATCAGGTCCTCCGATGTCACCCCTACAATAACAAGAAGGGGGTGATATTAGTAAGGAAAGGAAAATACGTTAGAGAGAGATAATTGACTGCGGCAACACTGGAATAAGACAGACTGTTCCTTAAATGGTGAAGAAAACTTTTCTAGTATCCTTCTTGTTTTGAAAAGAAAGATGGTGATAGATGGTGGAATTCCAGCTACCACCAAATTTGGGTTTTAGTCTTACTGCAGTAATTGTAAATCTTACTCTCTGGATTTGTCCACTTAATGAAGAAAAGATTGGCTTATGAAAGGGAACATAAGAACAACAGTGTGTTGTCACATCCTATCATCTTCACTTTATTACATGAAAAATAGCTTGACATCCAATTCAAAATATTCTATTTACAGGCATCAGCTAGCAATTTTGAGCTGCATAAGCAACAGTGTTTTGGGTCATGATGCCAAAATTCAGAGACTCATGGAAGGCAAGCTTGTTTTCTTCATTCAGTACATAGCCATAGATGCAGTATAGATACAGGATAGGTTCTGATTAGGCCAGGAGACAGGGCAATGCTGTGAAATGATAACAAGGTACAGCATCTTCACTCTGAGGGTTGCTGTTTCAATCCTAACCTAAAAAGATGTTGTTGCTATAGGCTGACTGGTGTGCGTACAATCAGCTTTGTGTACTTGTTCAATTTTATAGTAGTCACAACTTTCTACTAGTCAAGTGGGAATATTATAAAAATGAGTTCACTTGGCAAGCTGACAGGATAGCATGTATTTGTCTGCTAAGCCATATCTAAATATAAGGTACAGAGGGAAAGAGGTGTGAGGAATATCATGTTGTCTCTTCTGTATCAGTTCTTCAGCCTGTCAACGTAATTCTGCTTTTGAGCAGTGAAAGCTGTTAGGAAAGAGGGATCAGGGCACAAGGATAAGTAGCACAAATATACTTATAAGCTATGTCATTGCTCTCTCCTCCTCCTTTACAGGTTGTCACTTGGTCTCCTTTTTGCAGAGAAGGCCAAATTTAGCACCATGCTCTAGAAGATAGTGAGCTGTTTTGCATATTTCCCTATCTTCTAGCTCAAAGAAGAAAACTTGAAGAAAAATTCAGAATAAAACAGATTTTTGCCAGTTAGGCTTTTTTGGATAATTTTCCTTTAAAAGAAATTACATAAAGAACAAACTGCATTGACTGCATTTCTGATTAAAGATGTGACTGATACTAATTCTTTGTTTGCAGAGCCAATGTAGCCAATTTATTGTGCATTATGGCAAACTCTTCCTTAAAAATAATAGCAAAAATTATTTGCTTAGCACAGAATGGCATTTTAAGTGAACAGAACTGTAAGCAATCTTTCATAGAGTAAAACAAAGTGAACTCCTATCTGTCTTCAGTGCACATAAATAAATTATGGCCTGTGTTTCTTTCTCTGATGCGGCCACTCTCTCCTACACAAGCAATAAAAAAGAGAAAATTGCTTCATTTTGTTGTCTCAATGGTGGGGAAGGAGCCTCTCTGCTTTAATTAGGCTTAGGTGCTTAATTCTGAAGACCTATGACCAGAAATTCAGAATTACTGAATATTCATAGCTCTGAGTAAAGTGGATAAGAGTGTGCTGGTCCCCAGTGTGTTGGAATGAAGCGTAAAGTATTTCTGACTCAGCACGCAAAACCAGACATCCCTCAACTCAAGAGCTATTTGTAGAAAACTTGAAGTGAAGTGCTTTTTCCAAGGGCAGTATTATCAGATTACAATCTGATTTACCTTTACTGAGGTTTGAGTCTCAGTTTAGGTCATCTCTCATTCTGTTTTTTCAGTATCCATGTATTGACATATCTATTACTGTCAATATTCTTTAGCAGTTATTATGAATAACTCCTCCTTGCTTCTAAGGTGCTTATCCATAAGGTGAACAGGAGTTAGGAGATTCCTTATAATGAACCTGTGTCATAGCTGGGCTGAGAGTCTGAGAGAAGACCTCCAGCTCTTTTCTTCCCGTGCACTCACCACGGAGAGCAAACCTGTACTTACATATCATTGGCTTCTGTTTCTCATATTCACCTCTGTTTTAGATCACCATGCAGGAGGGACACAGTCAAGGGGCTCTGATAGAAGAGGATGGCAGGAGCCTTGATTACCAGTCCGAACCCAGCTTGGACGTTCCCAGCTACCGGAAGAGCTCCCTCCACAAGACCTATCAGTCTTCCCCACTCCAGTTAGATTCCTTTGCCATCAATTCACGATCCCTGAGCCTGAAATCTGCTGGCAGGAGAGGGACAGACAAAGTGCCCCTTCATCCAATAAAGTCTGAAGGGGCGGCTTCCACCCCTTACAAAAGCATCTTTTCTCCCAATTCCCTGTCAAACAGAAATGGGAGTCTTTCATATGACAGTTTGCTAAACCCCATGTCGCCCTCGGGGAGGAAGTGCATCGCCCATTCTGCGGTCAGCTCCGTTGGGTACCACTCCCCATATTTATCAGCCAAAATGTGCCATCTACGGGGGAGCGAGCTGCAACGCCAACCACCGCAGAGCTTCAGCCCAGTGCTGGGGGGTCCAGCTCCACATCAGCGAGACCCCTCCCCAGTCCGCTATGATAACCTTTCCAAAACCATTATGGCATCCATCCAGGAGAGGAAAGAGATGGAAGAGAGGGAGAAGCTCCTCCACTCGCACCCTGATTCAGTGTTTGCAGACTCAGGTGTCTATGACACCCCTAGCTCTTACAGCCTTCAGCAAGTCAGCACGCTCTCTGAAGACCCACGCAGCATGGCAATGAGATACGGATCTAGAGACAATCTGATGGCTGCTACCAGTTTTAGCACAAGGAACCCTATACTACAGTCCTCAGTGTCTTCACTCTCAAGTGCAATGACAAGAGCACCAAGGACTTCCACAACCTCTCTGCAAGCTGATTTAGCCAATAATAATGTCCAGTCCCATCAAGCACTACAGGGCAGGGTGAGCAATGGCTCCTACAAATCCCCAGGCCACCAGGTCCCATCGTCCCCCACAGGGATGCCTAGGTCACCCTCTTATGGAGGCCCAAAGGCTGTCTCATTTGTAAACACTGTGGAAATTACAGAGGTGCAACCAGTGGGAGCACAAAGGTATGTACTGCTTTAGGTGCTGCTCAGCAATGTGAATCTGTTTGCAAGCAAGTGCAGAGCGCTTCACTGGAGGCACGACCCAGATTACATGTTTGCTGTAGGCCAACGAGGGTGGGAGGTTTGTGGGTGTTCTTCAATTCTGCGACACCCTCATAGCAACCTCATCATCACAAAATATTTGCACATTTGCTGTAACTTGAACTGCCGGTGGTCAATTAAGTTGTAAAAGTCATAGTGATTTAGTGTCTTAGCAGAATTGGGTAATTATTTGCAAGATACGAGGCAGATTATCCCTCCCGTTATGCACAAAAGGGTGGAGCTGTTTTAGTTTGCAGCCTAAAGGGAGGCTGGACCCAGCCATTGCTTGGACACAGAGGCAAAGCTGGGATCACAGCATGTGCAAGCATACCCAGCTCTAAGGGAAACGGGCTGAGACCAGTCCTGGAAATTGTGCTTGGCATAGAGAGCTGTGTATTTAGCTGTGTGGAGTGTCCCGTAATACAGAACTGGCGATAAAAGCACAGACCATCTTGGCATTACCTTAGGAGGCCTTGCTGCCTCCTTCCTTTCTGTGAGAAAGCATGGGAGAGAGAGGACTTGCTGTGCTGAGAGCCTGAGTAAGTGGTATCTGAGCAAGATCCCCAGCTGCAGCTTCTGTATGCACTAATCTTTCTTCCTCTTCCTTCTGGAGACTATGGGGCTTGGAAAATTTGAAGAGCTACATGATCCCGCTGAGGATGCAGTTATTTCAGCCAAGTTGGGGCCTGGAGGGCTCATCACAAATATCTAGGTTTTCTTTGCTTCTGGCACTTACTGCATTATACTGTCCTCTGGTTAAGGTCCCAGGTGTCTCACTCCAGTATTATCCAACATTTTGGGGAAAGTTATTGAAATGTGGGAGAACCGTTATTGTAGGTCTCCTGAAGTTTAGTGCTAGCAAGTGTTTCCTCAATGTTTTCAAGTGAATTGTAGTTCTTAAGGTGATTTGTCTGCTGGTGGAAGATCTAACTTTCAGGAGGTAGACAGCCATTTTTTCCTCTTCATATGTATTAAAGAAGCAAGTCTACTTCAGTGAAAGAAGACCTGTGGACTTTCTTTTGCCTCTCTGCCCTCTGAGACCCGGATGTGTCAGCTGCTGCTGTAGGAAAGATGCTAATATGAAAAGCTGTTTGCCTTTTCTTAGTCTCTGGTTCTTGATTATGTTGTCAGCCTGTCGGTTCCACTGCTTTTACATTGTGCTTGTTTAAAATGTAGAGCCTGTAAATTCACTTCAGTTCAGCTCTTTGAAGTAATGAAAAATACAGTGTCCGGCAAAAGTGGTCTAGCTATTAAAATAGCTACAGATCCCATCAGATGTTAAAGAAAGTTGCAGACATATGATACCGTTGCAGAGGATCTTCTTTACTGAAGTTCCTAAAGTCAAGTCAAGTACCTAGATTAATAAATAAATAGCTTAATAAACTTGAAGTTTTTTACCTAGTGAAGTAAATCTTCCACAGGCACCCTGTGCTTTATAAACCTAGCACATTTTCTCTGTCAGTAACACTACAAATGTCTTTCCCTTCTTCCCTTTCCCCTAACACTCCCCAGCTCCCTTCTGCCTTGTTTCAGGAGGCAGAATTCAGGAGCGCTGAATAATTTTATAATACTCTGGTGAGGCAAATGTAGGATTTGGTCCCTGCATATTTCGGCTGTTTGGGGATACAGCAGCATTTTATGAAACGACACAATCTTTTTTTTTTATATTTATGTATGTGTGTTTTGCTGGTTCAGAAACCCACAACTCCGTTCTCTAGTGCAAGCACAGCTTAAATGCATAGCAGAAGCCGGGCTGGTGTGAGCTGATGGACCTGCTGCTCCAGCTCCAGGATACAGCTGTCAGACCAGGTTGCCAAATAAACCGTGCTTTTAGTTTTGGAGCTATTCTGAGCCTATCAAGAGCTGTGTAAAAGTCTGGGGTAGTCTGTTTTGTTTTGCAGACACATGTAAAGAAAGAAATTGCCTTTTGATTACAGTTAATCCATCAAACCCTCTGGCCTCCAGAAAAAGTCAGGGTGGTCTGAAATAGCTCAGGCCGCCTCGGTTTGCAGGCAGACAGAAAGTGTTCCCTTCTGGAAGGTATTTCAGCCCTCGGTCACTGTTGTTGGCATGAGCCAGTCTTAAACTTCAGACTGAGGCAAACCCAAGCAGACATCCACTGTGCAGGAGTAAGATGTGAGAATACAGCAGACCCCAGTTGTACTGGGACTTCCAGAACATACACAAGTTCTTTGGTAGGCTTTTATCTAATTACTTTGTCAGTCTTGGGGATGAGACACATTAAGCTTTAGTGTGTAGTGGCCTAGATTTAAAAGATCTTTTGAGGAAAGCCTGTTGTCCATGCTCCCTGGCAGTATGTCATAAGAAAGGAAATTATTTTAAAGAGTCCATCCAGGATATGATCTTTAATTACAGGCATCCTAGAATGCTTCCTGACTTGATTCAGTTTGTGTCTTCTGTCATAACGAAGTCTTACGCTTCACCTCTCATATCTTTCAGAGATGAGCAACATAATTTTGTTTAACTGGATATTTAACTGGGAAGTGTTTTTTCTGAGTATTTTATTTCTGACCGTAAGACACAGTTTGGCTTAAGGTCAACAGTGGTGACAATGAAACCCTCCTGTGTCCTATAAATGCTTATGCAATTAGTTTGGTTCAACAAAGCATTTAAGCAAGTAATTAAATGAACAAATATTACTGGGGTCTGATCCACTAACCTAATGGCCAAATGAATTCTCTCATTTCAGTGGCTTTTCATCAAGTATATTGGCTTCAACCAGGTTGCTCCCATGCTTGAACATTTTGCAACACTGGGACTCAGGGTTACAGGGATAATTGTTTATCCTGAATGAAGCCATTCTGCTATCACGCTTTGGTCACTAACATTGCATCTTTTGGTATTTCTTTTGATGCAGGGATGACATGCAGTTGAAGACACCTCACAGTAAAATAAATGGACAGCCAAAAGGAATATCCAGGTTGGGCTCAACATCAAGTTCCCAGGGGACACCTGTCAGCCCTGCTAGACACTCAAGTGTTAAGAAGGTGTCTGGAGTTGGTGGAACAACCTATGAAATTTCAGTGTAAAATAAAATTAATTAAAAATAAAGAGCCATCCACTCAGCCAGCCATGAAGCTAGGAGCACTGTGAAGACTCAAATAGCAACAAAGAAGGAGCAGCAGCAGCCGACCACTCTCCTTTTCTTGTTTTGGGTTTGTTCTGTTTTCATCTTTCTCTTTTGGCCAAAAACCAGCTGCAGCCTTATTCTTGAGGGAATAAAACTGTACAGTCCATCAGACCCTTCCTGAACTGACAGGCAGGAACTGGCTACAACCTAACACCACAACCACAGAGCGGATTTCTTTTGTGCAAGAGAGCACTAAAGCCATTGTGCGTGTGTCTGTCCAACAAACCTGTTGTGTACCAGTTGTGCTGTGAAAAAGTACGGTCAGTCCAGGATCATTCAGTTTTTCCCATGCCCCTTCCCAGTTCCTCTGGCCAGCGATGTGTCCGGCAGGAGTCAGAGGCCCAACTGCTGTTTTCCTACCGACGTGGAAAGCAAGCTTCCTGTGCTGGGCAGTCTGCGTGTGCGAGAACTGCTCTGTGTCCCCCAGGCGTTGCAGGTTGGGTTCCTCCTCCTGGAAAGGAGCAAGGCAAGGGCACTTGGGCCTCAAACGCCGTGTCATCTTTAAAAGCCTCCCTGCTCTCTGGTCCCGCTCTGATGGGAGCGGGAGAAAGGATAGCAACAGCTTCTCACTGTCTGCCATTCGCCTCCCTGTGTGTGAAATATTATGTGTGTGTGTGTGCGCGCGCGTGTGTTCGTCTCTCATGGAAAAGGACCACAACACCAGTAAGGATCTTCCACTCTGACCTCTTGCTCCCTCTGGTTTTTAAAGGCTTCTCTGACTCGGAAACAAAACCAAGCAGATAAAAAAGGAAATGTTTAGATGGGAATATATTTTAAACAGCCGTCAGCTGCTTTCCCTGCACCCTCCTTATTACCTGTTGGATTTAGGCAATAACATGGTTTACTGCCTTGCCCTGGTGCCGTCTGTGTAATCCTGCAGCAAGGTTGTCATGATCTGTTGAATTTACAGTGTGTGTAACTGAGCCAAGCGTACATCTAAAGGATATAAATTTTCTGTCTGCCTAATTACTAGCACATTCCCTCTGATCTTCAATACTGTTAGACAAAGGATTTTCCGTTTGGGTTTTTTTCCCCTGGGGAACAACTTTTTAAAATAATATCAATCAAATCTATTTAACATTCTGAGGTTTCCTTTTCCTGTCTCCAGAAAACTGCATTTACTTTGTTGGATTTAAAGACAACTTTACTATAAAAAACAAGAGAGGGGTGCATTACTTTTGTCACAAATATGAGGACTCTGGCAAAGCTAATTTTGGGACAAATGGAATTTTTTTTTCTTTTCTCCATTCCTTATCTCCTTTTTCTTCCCATTCAATTACCACCTCAGAAGTCAAAAGTACTGAGATTTGGACCAATGCTAACTAGCCAGATCATGTGTGCAATTAAGAATATCCTGAGCGACTGTTGCCAAAGTCACTAAAAATGATTATTTATCACTGAGCCAGTCAGCATACGAAACCTTGACTTCCCACCTGGCTCTCCTGGTGAATAGTTTTGACTAGAGAGCTAAATTCATCATCTTTCAGGATATTTGTTTCAAGGGGTTGAATCCTTTTCAGTCCTTGACTGTAATGGAGAGCTCTCCAGATATTTGTTAGCAATTCAGAATGTGTTGATAACATCTTACTTGTTTTCATGTACGTTGAGATTAATTATTCCAGAAGGCAAATATTGACCTCAGTTTTGCCTGGTTAAATTTTATCTTTTGATTTGATAAATCTTGACATCTGCTGCAATACATGCTTATTATGTCCCTTGTATATCACATCATTTTTTGGAGAGGAAGGTTGAAGAGAACATGAGAAAGTTAATAATCTCTCTGTGTAATGCTCTATGTTGCCTGAAGGGAGAAACCTGGAAAGCAATGCAGCTGCAATAGGCCAAATTTATGAGAGAGTGAGCTAAAAATCAGTGTGCATTTTATTGCCTTGATGATATTTTAAATGCCTACTGTAGGGACATTGCAGAGCAGAGAAGCAATAGTCTTTCTATGCAGATTTGCTCACTGGCATGTAGAATATTGTCTTTAGTTAGAGGCGCCACGGTACCAGAAAGATGCTGGCAAACTGGATCAGGTACAGATGGAGCAATATATATTAAAAGACTGGACAGGCTGGCTGATGAGAAGATTTAAAGGGCTAAAAACATGTCACTGGCTAAGCAATGAAGCGGAAATTGAGTATCATAATTTTACAAACACATTAGTTAAAATATGTAAAACCAAAGGTAAATCAAAGGGTTGTCACTGGTAACCAATGGGCTACATTTAGAAGGGGGCAGAAAAGATGGAGAGGAAGGGGCAGTGGAACAGTCTTCCAAGGCAGAGTATTGGAGACTATTTAGGATGGTCAAACTATGTTTGGACAAGTCATTAAAAAAATTTCTGCAAGAGGTAAGCCTGCAGGGACAAGGGGCTAGACCAGGTGGCCTTACAGATTTCTTCCATCTTTAACTATTATTAATCTGCAACTCTACCCTGATGTTAACTCCTCAGGAAGATGCAGTACTTCCTAAAGGACTGGAATTCACTCTGGTGCATAGAGTATCACAAGACTTACTTGTTTTTAAAGTATCATGTATGCCATATGTAAGCCCTGAAAAAGAGAGGATATGTGACACACTGAATTTGGGCTAGGGAACTAGGCAAGGGCACATTTTATCATGTATCTTTGAATACGTACATGAAATTCATGCAAGCAAGGCTGAAAATTTGCACCTGTGTAATATTTGAGATTTGCATCCCAGTGATGCTCCACTTTGATTGTTCTTTCTCCTGCATTTATAAACAAAAAAGCTACTGAGGAACTTGAAGGGCCAAAGAGCCTTTGAAGTTAACTACATTAGTTCATGAGAGAATTTCTCAGTAAGACTAAACACAGTATTGTGTGTATAAAGCACTAATATCCAGGGTTATTTTGACATAGTTCATAAGGGGTAAGGGAAGAAAGAATGCACTGTGTCATTACAGGTTCAGATGTAGGGATTATATATTTTGTGAGTAGTTTTGCCCACAGTTGAGAGACATTCAACTTGTTAATAGGTTTACAATGGTACCAAAGTCTTTTTTTTTTTTTTTCCTTTTGAGGTTTGCATATAATTCAGTGCACATAGCCTGGAATAAATTATTCAAATCTTCTGAAAGAATAATCTAAGCAGAACTGTTAACAGGAGATTGCATGCAGCAAATCCAGCCTCATTTCCTTCCAAGGCACTGAACCTGCAGCTATTTTCTCATAAATGTAAGTGTCTGTTTCCATAGCTCCTGTTGCGGGACTGGGGACCTATTTATTAAGTCTAATTTTGGAGCACAATCCAGCCCATGTTAAAGTATAGTTCTTCAAGCAGTTTACAGATTAGCAGTAAGGTTCTACTGCCCAGATAGTCTCAGTTTTTACAGACACTGTAGGCCAAATATTCAGCTGGTGTAAATTGGTGTGGCTCCATCAAAGCTCATTTAAGTGATGCTCATTTACAGTAGGTGGGGATCAGCCATGAAAATCCAGCACACGTTAACACATCTTGTAAAGTAGCTTCTTTATTTTTGTCATGTTTATTTCATGTTTCAGAAGTCTTAAATCTTTTCAACATGTTCTTATTTTTAGCTGTGGATTGTATTACTTATTTAAAAAACAGCAATAGTTTTTGTTTAGTTTATGCATCAATTTTCATTGCATATTGCATTTTATTAGCCGTTCGTTCTCTGTTCATACACTCCCATTTAGCCTCCAGGTTTTCATTGTAGTACAATCTGCCTTGAAAAGTTGGATCTCTGTATCTTTAATTGTATAATATATTGAGTATTATGAAATTAAATGTACCTTACTACATGGGTGGGAGAGAGAGGAAATATTTTTACTTGAAGCCTTAATATTTTCTTTTTTTACTACTTTGTTTGTTGACCTCATAGGAAAGTCTGAATAGCAAAGACTTTGAAACTCTGGGCCAAATACTGCACTGATATACAACCAGCATTTGGCCCCCTATGTCAAAACTGGATGCAGACATAACCTGAAGTGAACAAGGGAAAAAGCCTCAGGGTGGCATATTTTCCTGAAGATCATTAATACAGTCTCAAAATGTGTCTGTAAGCAAGTACATTAAAGAAGTCTTCAAGTCTTGAATTTTTAAGAAAGGTGATAGCAGGAACTGCCCTAATATCTTACATTTGCATTTTCTTTTTAAATTGAACAAAACAAAACAAATATAGTTACTTAGTTTGGTTAAAGTCAGCTCTAAGGGTTGCACAGAGCTATGTGTTAGTAGCCATGTGCAGCAAATGAACTGTGTTGTGTTGCTGTTCTAAAATTGCTAACCAAGCATGATGTTACGTCAACTTGGCCTATGATAATCACCTTATGGGTGTTATAATGGACATTCCTCAGATGATGCCTGTTCTCCTATAAGCCTAATGTGGAAATTGCAATGTGGTTTTCTTTGGACTATATCTGTGGTCCAGACTAGAGAGAGAGAGAGAGAGATATATTCAATATTTTTTTTTTGTGTGGGAAAGATGGGGTCAAGGTTGCTGTCTCTGACAGTCTGGAAAGTTAATGTCGAACCATTTTTATGGTCTGTATTTCACCTGTTCTGCCACCTTGAATTGTTGGAATGTATCCGTGCAGGCTTTGTGGAGCTCTGTCTGTAACCTTTTTTGTGGCTCTCGTAATACATATATATTTTTTAAACCTTTGAGTCACTTCAGTATTTTAAAGTGTCTGGTTTTCCCCGATGAGTTACGCCTCAGATGCATTCGTTCGCTGAGATGGTTCATGGTGTGCTGCCCTTTTCCACTTCCACTTGTGCAAAACATGAACTGAAACAGTAGAACTGGAAAGACCAGTTCCAGTGCAAAATCTGCAGGTGACAAAATAATAAAAGAAGTGATTGCAGGTTAAGTCTCATTTTCGAGGTGCTTATGGTAGAGTAGAAAATATGCTGTCTTTAAAAGAGTGTCTCCTAGTTGTGACCAATGGATCATGCTTGTGAGGCCACAGTAAGTGGTCCATGAAACAACACTAAATGAAGTTTTCTATACTGTTTTTTATTAAAGTTGTGCGGTTAATAGGGATCCTGTGGTCTCACACAATTGTGAATCATTGCTACAGAGTAACTGTGGAAAAAATGTTATATTGGTATTTGTTGAAATGTTCTGTCCAGCATATCTGGATTTATACATCCCAAAGATACACAATTTTTAATCTATCTTCATCTATCTATCTGTTTCTAGTCTTTGAAAATATGTCCGTTTGATCTGTAAGACTGACTTATAACACACACAGTTGCCAAGCCCTCCTAACAGCAGCTGCTGCAGGATTTCTGATGCCATAATTTGCATATGTAGGGTAAT